TCGTCGCTCGTTATTCGCTCATTCATTCGAGCGGCGCGATTCATTTCGCGCCGTAATGCGACGGGGGTGGCCGGGGGTGCCGCGAAACGGCGGCCGTGGAAAAGGAAGCGGATATCTGTGCACGTTTTCCCAATCTCCCTGCCGGTTGGAACGTCAAGAGCCGCTCTCGGAGTGGTTCACGCCTGTGCGAAGAGGGAGAAAGAGCGGAAAGAGCAGGGTGAGCGGCAGGGCGAGTGGCAGGACGAACGGCAGGAAGGCAAAGGAAATAGTGGCAGAGACGGGTGGAACAGAGACGGAGAGAAGGAGGGATTTTCGAAGGAACGGGGAAGAGCAACGGCTTATTTGACTCGTTTCGTCGGCGGAGTAACCCGAGTTACATTTATGCCGACGGAAAGAGCGGCTTTCGAAGGGATTCGCGGCAAAGAAGCGCACAATGCCGACGATACGAAAGGATAAAAGCAAGCTGCGCTACCCTTATAAGCCACGATGACCCGGTGGCCTCGTAAAACGGCCAACCATCGGCAGTAACCGGACGATACCGTGTGCCCCGATCGACCGGTAGATCCATCGAGGAACACCCACGATTCGCGCGGAGCTGCATTTCCCTGGGGGACAGCTGATAACGCGAATGACGACTGATACGCCGATCTGAGAACGTAACGACACGGTTGTCGATACGCGGATACGCGAAGTCGACCCCGTCTTTCACGTCCCCGCGACGTTGACGCCGGAAATGGCCGGGAATAACGCGAGCAACGGATGACCGTTCGCAGGGGGCGAGAAATCGCGTCGTTTCGTTGTCTCCGATCGGTGACGCATGGGTCGCGGGATTTTTTTTCGTCGGGTTATTTTTACGAAACGAAAATACGTCGGCGAACGATCTTTATTGACGCGTACGGACACACGGGGCGCGACGGAATATCCACCCTTTGTTATGTAAATGCGTCGCGAGTTAATAGATTTATAGAAATTTATGAGAGGCTTAAGCGTGATCTACAGCGGCTCCGGCCCGATGAGCGCCGAAGCGGGATAATGGCACTCCGGGCCCGCCTTTATCTCTTTCCCGCATTTTCCTTTCGTTCCACCTTTCCTTCGCTTTCCTCCATTTCCGCTCCCAACGGCACACCTTTTTACGCTTCCGGACTGTATTTGGAAGCGTCGCGTTTTCAGGTAACGACGCCGGTCTTCCGGTGTGCGTGTAATTAAACCCGGTTCGCGCGGTCTCCGGCTCGTGTGCGCCACGGAACGTAAAGTTTATCGCGCAATTTGCGTAATGTGCGTAGAAAATTCCGAGTTAGGAGCGCGGGGGTGCGCGCGGTTTCTTTCAATTAATTCCGCAACGGCGCCTACTCACGGCTACCGACTAAATAAATAATCGAGCGTTAAGCGTGGTCTTCGCGGAAGGGAGAAGAAAACAGAGAGAAAGAACGTAACAAGGTAGGAGAGATCCCAGAGAGTGGTCCACGGGAGAAACGAGATCCGACCGGGAATTAATTAAAAGAGAAACAACCGTTTTCGTTTTTCCTCAACTTCTTCGTTTATTGCATTCACAGTCTCGACGCAGTCTTTAACTTACTCGTTTCGCTGTCTGTCCAAATCTTCTTAAATTAGGTACAGATTGCCCTGCGACCAGGGAGATCCAAGTTCAATTATTTACAGATGCAAAAGGAGGAAGAACGGACCGCGCGCCACGGTCGATCTCGTTCGTTGCGATGGCGACGTGACGATGACGGAGTAGGAGATTCTACCTTACCGATCGGTCCGAAAATCCGGTACCGGAACGACCACCCACCGCCGTGTGCCAAGAGTGCGTAGAAAAACGAACGAACCACCGGTACAAATCCTCTTTTAATTTCTAACGTCCCTTCAGGGCCAGGGAAAACGCAAGGTCGGTGGTAATCCCATTTGTCTTCCAGATTCGGTCCAGCCGTTGTCAGGTACAAATGTGTAAAGGGCGACGAACAGGTACACGCGATTGTAGATTTCTACCTGTTCCGATGGGCGGACGCCTCGAGACAGCCCCCGTGTGTTCTCTTTTCCTTTTCCGTTCGACAGCGCGTCCGGCTCGGGGATTACTGGCAGATTTTTGTTCCCCGATGAGAGTTTGCTACGCGAACGAAAACGGCCCCTGGGCTCCACGCAATTAGGAGGCGGGACACGTATTTCGAGAGCCGTACCGATCGACGGCGAAAAAGCATTTTTCACCGGCGATCTCGCGCCGGCAATTTTTATCCGCGCGCTTTACGCGCCCTCTGTCGTTCTTTCCTTCCCACTCTTTCTCCCGCTTTCTCTATTTCTCTATCCCTTCCTCCCTCTCTCTCTCTCTCTCTCTCTCTCTCTCTATTTCTCTCTATCTCCCTTTCTCTGTCCCACCCCAGTGGCCGTGGCTGGAAAACACATAAATACAAGGGAATTATGGGACTAAATTACGCGGTACATTTGAGAGAGTGCGCGCGCGCGCGCTATGAAGTAGCTTACGACAGGCCAATCGATGGAAACCCATTTTTTCCCGACTCGTACATCATAGCCGAAATCGAAACTGACAACGAAAAACCCAGCACCGCTACGCGTATGGCGTGCAATAAATCACGGCAAAAAGAGCGCTCCGGTCCTCTTGCTCCCCTAGCGAGAGAGCCTGACGAAACCCTAGCTTCTCCGTTACCGTCTGCCTTTTCGATCTGATCTTACAAAGAAGCGTCTCTCTCTCTTTCTGCTCCATTCAACAGGAGACTACGAGAAGCACAGCGGAGACTCCCTGCCCTACCCACCCTCGCCCCCGCGCTCGGATCGTCCTCGGAATATTCCGCACGCGAAAATAGGACCATCCACGTGCTCCGATAAGAAAATCTTTACGATTCCTTCCGATCGTCTTCCACGTCTTCGCCGGTTGGACGAAAATTTGCAAAAGGTTCCTCGGCCTCCGCAGATCCACGGAATCGGCCGTATTCTCGCGAACGAATTGGGTCTAGAGATCTCGAAGGGAACGACGAAGACGTCCTTTCTCACGAATGGAAAACACGGGAGATACGAGGCTGTTCGGCTAAATACGTTTCTCGCGTAATCCCGTAAGACGACTGGATCGACGGGAGTAATTTCAGGGTGGAAAGCTGGGCCCGTATCGATGCGGCTTATCAGCGGATCAGCCGCTAATGGAAGCGTTCACGGCAGAGGCGTGAATATGCCGGTCCGTTGGATAAAAAGGGTCCACGCACGGCCCCCTTCGCCCTACGGATCTCCCTCGCACGGTGACTGTGGCCAACCGGCTGTGCGTAGCTCGAGCCGAACAGCTGAAACTGAAGCGTGTCACGGAAAGTTAACGCGACCGGGCGAGTTCTCGTGGACGCGAACGGCCACCTGACACGAATAAAAGGGACGAAGCCGTGCGAGGGGGTGCGAGGCCATTGTCGCCGAGCGGTTCCGGGGGATCGGCCGATCAATCGACTTTCCTAATTTCCTCGTTCCAACGCGACAAACTGTGTCTAGCCGCGATACGTGATTCGGATGAACGGCAACGAGCCGTGCCTGTCACCCTCCTCCGGAGAATTGCTATTTCGAATTAGTTTACCGGGGCTCGACGACCGAGGGTACGACGCGAAATTGCCCGTTTAGATCGCGTGGATCGTAAACCGGGGTAGCGTTATGAAAAGTTCGTGGAACACGGAACGATGGAATGTATCGGTTTAATATGCCGGGAAGAATATTGGCCGTGTGTCACGGAATAGATCGCCGGGCTGTGCGTTGAAAGGGTGCTGCGATGCACGGTGGGTGGCGTTCGGTATCGAGGACACGTTAGACGCTGATGGCAGCGATGGTAGCGGCTGATCGCTGCAAATGCGAGGCCTGTATTAAATTAAGAACAGCAACGGCGACGCCAACGATAATCGATTAAAGGTAATGTCCGTACGCGAAACGAGCGGATGATGTAATTTTGACTATGTTCCTTTACGCGCTCGCTGGCAGCAAGCCATCCGATAAAGGCGACTTAATTGGTAAGTGGGTGAGAATTGTTGCGGACCCGTGTGCACGGCCCATCCGGAGGGTGAGTTCCGATCAATAGAGTTTTCTAATTGAACTCGACGACAACTGGCCCGACGACCATGACAAATTTCGCGCGTAATACCGGTTCGTATATACTTTCCACCGGGCCATATGTTGCCGCAAAACCCGCCCGCCGAAGATGACCCTATTCACGTCTGGATCACAATGGCGCGAAATGTGCCGCGGCGTTAAATCGGGCCATAGGTCGAGGCCCGTGTTCAATGACACGGCTACGGGTCTCGTTAGTTTGTCATTTGGCAGTGATATATAATTTTAGAGCATTGCCGTTAGAGAGAGAGAGAGAGAGAGAGAGAGAGGGAGAGAGAGGGCGCCGTTGTAGGTATACGTGTTTCGGCTTTTACGAACGGATTCGATCGTTTAAACGTCGGCTATAAATTCGATCGAACCACGGACGAACGGGCTGTACTCGAAGTTTAACGGGCTAGACGGAACAACTGATACGGTATAATAAAAATCTGGCGAGCGTCTAAGCCGGGGTGAACAGCGAGATCCTTCTCTCCGCGACGGTTCCTTCGAGTTCGAGTGGCTTACTAGACTCGGAGGTGAACTGGAAACGGAATCGGCATACTTTGCTCGCTAGATATAGCCGGTAAACGATCGATGCGAAGAGTAAACGGTGCTCCTTTGTAAAGCAACCACGGAGAAAAAAAGCGTTTATCCATGAAACGGAAAGAAAGGATCGATCTTGGCTGGATTTTAAGCCCAGTTCGCCCCGATTCCGTGTGCCACTCCCGCCGTTTCACGGGGACTACCACTCTGCCCGTCGTGTTTCGCTATTGTCGCCGACAATTCGACTGGTTTCTACTCTTTTTTTTTTTTTCTTTTTTGGAAGGAACGAGGCCGCGCGCACGCAGTAGGAGAAACGAAAAACCAAAGGCAGGCATCGAGAGCGAAGCTTATAAGAAGAGGAAATAATGGGTCTTACCTAAATAACGGCAGTTCTACGTCCATTGATGCTGCATCGGGGGCGGTGGCGGCGGCGGCAATGGCAGGGGTCTCTCCAAAACAGGAACAGGGGACACGTCTGGCATGGCGAACCTTAGCTTCTGCCAAAACAACTTGTCCCCCCACACCAGCACGGTGTGCGACGAGATTCTCTTTTTGAGATCGGAGTCGAGATCTCGTGGACACACACCGCCTACCAGCAGCAGGATCACCGAGCGGCCCTTCCCTTTCAGAGCGTCCCTCAGAGCCGCTTTAAACTCGAACCTGGCCCACTCGCCGTGCAGAAAGTTCTTCGACAATACCAGGATGGTTCGCCTGGAGGAATCCGCGGCTTCCGCCACTGCGTCTGCCACGTTGTTACCGGCGCCCAGATCGCGGTAATGCAGACACAGCCGGTAAGAGGTCTCCAGGCCGGGTACCAGGATCGTCGAGACGAAGGCCTCGTCGACGGCCGAGTAGGAAATGTAGGCGTCGAAAGGCTTCTCTTGATCCTCGAACGCGGCCGTCTTGTAACACGCCCGCAGACCGCATCTGCTGGCCGCCCATGTCCGCAGAGTACGACGATGCCTGAACGCGCCGCACACGAGAGCCACCATGGCAAAAATCAGCACCGCGGTGGCGAGCAGTAGCGGGAGATAAGCCTCGAGCGGTCGAGTTTCGATCACCGACGTCGTGCCCGTTAACGCGGCGCAATTTATGACCGATCCGTTGGTCGGAAGAGTAATCGGCATACCGAGGGAACAGGTGACGCTCCTCCAGTCGCTTATCTTCGCTCTGTTGCGAGACATCCACTCGCGCACCCGGTCCAAGAAAGAGCACTCGCAACTCCACGGGTTGCTGGACAGCCCGATGTCGACCAGATACGGATTCTGACCGAGCTGCCAAACGGCGAAAGTGCCCAGTCGATTGTTTTCCAATCGTAACACTTCCAGCTGACGTAGCGGAAGAAACGTGCCGTTATCTATGTACGTCAATAGATTATTCTGTAGGTAGAGTTCCTTCAGGTTCTCCAACGGCATCAGTTCCACGCCGTTGAGCACGCTTATCTTGTTGTTCTCCAGATGAAGGACCACCAAACGTTTCAGACCGCTGAAAGTGTGATTGCGTACGGCGATGATGTTGCTATCGTTGGCGTACAGGATCTGCAGGTTCTTCCGGCCGATGAACGAATGGGAATTCAATTCCCCGAAATTGTTTCCATCGAGGTAAACCTCGGTGGCGTCCATCGGTAATCGGCCGGGAAGGGTTTTGTAGTCCGAGTTGGAACAATCCACCACGTTCGCCGACCAGGATTGATCGTGGTAGCAAGTGCAGTTGGTCGGGCAGGTCATCTCGCAGTCGCAGGCGTCGAAGTCGCAGCAATGACAGAGCGCGAAACAATGAGCCTTGTACGTGCAGAGAAATTGAGAGGGTTTCGCCTCGAACAGCGGGACGAAAGATTTGTGGCGATCGTACGGAAGCTTGCAATATATCGATTTCAAATCCATTACCCTCGGGTGTTGTCTCAGGGACAACGAGTTGATTCTTTGCAACCACTCGGTGGTGCAGTCGCATATGAACGGATTACCGCCGATGTAGAACTCCGGCAATTGTCGATAGGCCGGTACCTGGGTCAACTGGAACGCGGAGAGGTTCATTCGAACGATCTGGTTCGCGTACAGGTCCACCCTGGTCAGATTTTTCTTGTCCACGAAGGTCTGCGGCTCCACGATCTGTATCATATTGTCGTTGACGAACAGAAGCTCGATCGAGTCCGGGATCGATCTCGAGTGTATCCTCGTTAGCCGGTTGAACGACACGTCGAGCGTCTGTAATCTCATGCCCTGTGGCGCGACTCCGAGATCCATAATAAGATTTTTATGCAGATCCATCCACTGTAATCTCTTCGGCAGGTAACCGTAATCGAACTGTACGATCATGTTGTCGGACATGTTCAGCCAGAGTAGGCCGGGCGCGCTCGCGAACATGCCGGACATGTCCTGCAACAAATTCGAGTCCAAACGGATAGCCTGTAACGCTGGATTCGCGGCGAACACACCGTCCTCCACCATCTCGATCCTATTCCGCGCCAAATTCAGTATCTGAAGGGCGGGCAGCTCGGCGAAATCCTCCATAGTGACATTCGTGATCTCGTTCTCGATCATTCGTAATCCATTTAGACTGGACATTCCACGGAAACCAGGTCTGTTCAGGCTTCTGATCTGATTTTCCCCGAGGTCCAGCGTACGCAGCATTCTCATGTCCTTCAATGCGACCGGTATGCTGTCCAAACTGTTCCCGGACAGATTCAGATCCTGCATACTGGAACAATTTCGAAAGGCATCCGGATGGATCCCTTCGAGCAGATTCGAATCCAGCGACAGCAGGGAAAGTGCAAACAGCCCGTTGAGCGAGTAAGCGTCCAGGTAAGTCAATCGATTGTACGCCAGATCTAGCGTGTGCAGATTACTCATGGGCGCGAAAGTGTCCGCCGGTATCGTTTCGATCTCGTTGTACTGCAGATTCAATATCTGAAGCGTGTAAAGGTCCTTGAAGAGGGCCGGGTCCAGACGGCTGATTCGATTATGAGAGAGATTCAGCAGCACCAGCCGAATCAAACCGGAAAACGTGGTGGAGTTGAGCCAAGAGCTGGTCAACGCGTTCCTCGACAGATCCAGCGCGACCAGCTGATTCATGTCTGCCACCAGACCCGGGGACAGTACGCTGATGGAATTGTTCTGAAGCCGCAATTCCTTCAGCGACTTGGCCGCGTTGCGGAACATATCCGTCGGCAACGCGACGATCCTGTTTCCAGACAGGTCGAACGTCTCCAGGGATCGGAGTCCGTGAAGCGCCTCGTCTGCTACCATGGAGATCGCGTTGCTCGACAAGTTCAGCACCCGAAGCCTCTTCAACGAGGAAAATCCGTAGGCGGGCAGCATACGTCTCTGCGGATGTTTCTCCGCGATATCTCGGAATCCCAGCTCGGTGATATCCTTCAGCATGTTCCACGAGACGTTCAACCTGAGCAGGCTCGACAACGGGCAGAACAAGTGCTCCGGTATCTGCCAGATGTTGTTCCACGATAAATCGATCTTCTCGATCTGCGGCACCGTGTCGAACGCTCCGCTCTCCAACTCCAGGCTGTACTTGCTCTTTCGTCCGTTCAGGCTCCTGATCGTCAGATTACGAAGATCCCGCAGACCGCTGAGAACTTTCGCCGGCCAATGCACCAGCTTGCATCCGGTCAAACTTAACGATCGCAATCTCCATAACTGTACGAACCCGTCCACGTTTAGGACACCGTTCTCCAACGAGTCCGACTCCTCGCACACGACGTTGATCGAGGTCACGTATTCGCTGGTCGCCTGTGAAAAGTTCGTCCTGAGGGAGTCGTTGCCGGCGTATCGGTGGATGCAAGTGAGCGCGCCATCCTGCCGCGAGTCCCACGAACAATGCTCCGGCAAATCCAGCCTCGGCGGTAGTTCGCTGGTCACGGCGAGCACGTGGTACACCGGCAGCAGAAGATAGTAGCAGTAGTAGGCCAATGACAGCGACACCGATCTCCCGAGCCTTTCCGGACCCACCAGCCCACGCATCTTTACCCAACTCGTTGCCTTCCCTTGTTTCCGCTCCTCTGTCTCCTTCCGGTCATTACACGCCGCACCAACGCTCCTAGACTCTTCGTTATTAACGCACGTTGTCGTCGCTCCTGTACGCCCTCCAATATTTACTCCGAGTGACTGGCATGTGTACCCCCCTCCGGCAATCGATACCGAACTCGCCTCTCTACACCCACACGTCCGATCCTTCGCAAAACTATCCCAACGATTCGAGCAGTTTCGTTAATGGGAATTTCAGCCAGGGAACCAAGTTCACTGCCAGTCCACCTGTCATCCGAATCGCTCGTTTGCCAACGATCCCACGGAATGCCGCGTTATCGCGTTTCACTGAGTGCTTCCAAGTAGTTTACACTTTAAAAGAATCACACTTCACTCGCTCCGCGAATCGTTCAATTGAGCGCGCGCGCGAGTACCCTTCATAACTTGCTGCGAGCGCTACGCGTTTCGACTCGCGAGACACACTCGACTGGCTCGACTCGGCAAAGTCCTCCACCGTCTACCCGCGACAGAGTAAATCTCCGGATAATTACGCACGCGTCGAGATGCTCGGCGATTTCAGTTCGCGCATCTCGTAAACTTCCTTTTCCAACCCCCTTTTATCGAGATTCCGCTAATTGTTCGCGATGCTCACTCACCGGCGACGATCTTCGTGCTTCTGGTCGGCGGCCTATCTCACGGCACTGTGCTCGCGTTCCGCCAAAAAACCGGCAGCTTCTCAACTTTTCCACCGAATGTCCCATTACCGTGTACCTCCGAGCCGCATTCCCAAAGTAGTCGACACTCGTCGAGGTTACGATCTGTATTCACTGAAATCCCATTATCCTGTCCGATAAGAGATAAACTCGTGCGATCTCTGTGAGCGAAAAGTGGAAGAGAATGGACTAACGACCATAGAATACGACACCTAAAACCGTGACACTCGGTACGGCGACCACCGCGCAACTGACGGTTGAGATCTCCACAGCATCTAACTCGACGCAGCGTCCACCAATCGTTCCTTCCCCCACCACTGGCGGCAGCACTAACACACCGAGGACCGGCATTCAGCGAGCACGCGCCTCTCGTCGGTAGTCCGTGGTGTAAGAAAGATGGCATACGTTCCCTCGTACCGTTCTCGTCTCTTTTTCCAACCTACGTGGAAATCGCGCGTGCTTCTGTTCAACGAACGAACGATATGTTCCGTAGCTATACACGCGACGCGAACGCAGTGCTGTAACGCGTGAAATGGGATGGACGGTCGCGTAACCTGTCTCTATCGTCTCACCATTCGTGCGGTCGAAAGTGTTGTGTTCGAAATCGCGTATGCGTTGTGTGTTCTCTCTTCTGGACAGTCTTCTTTGCGAGCAGGACACCGTATATCGCGACAATCACGGCCACCCTCGTCCTACGCGATGAAATCTCGTTCCTATCTGCCAACGACCACCCCGATCCGCTACTACGCAGTTGAAAGGTAAGAATGTAATATGGCCGAATTTTCGACTTTGTCGTTTGCATGGCGGTACGTCGCAGCGACGTTACGCCGAAGGTTACCTCTACGAGACGCGACGTGTTCGATATACGACGTTCGGGATAGGTCGTATTGTTTACATCTCCTTTAGCGCGTTCCACGCTGCTCGCGTCGGAATTTCTTCGCTCGGTCTCGCAAGGACGCGATATCTTTATTGGTTTAACGAACGTTTTCGAAAGCAATATGGCTACGGCGATTGCGCACGCTTCTGCGCAGGTGAAGCGTGATTCGAATCGGGCGTCTGTAGCCGCGTTTCGATCTATTTCCCATCGACGATATTCTCGTTTCTCTTTACCCTAATTATGCGTATTCGATCGTTTTCTTTCGTTAACGACTCGGGAACGCAGCTTTATCGTTATCTTTGCAAGATCGGCGTGCTTGTACCGAAATTTCCGAGACGATTCGGGCATGTCGATATTGCGTATTTATACCGAGTTCGATTTATCGGAAAGGACGGGGAGGAGGTTCGGCGGTTCGAACAGCAGACTTGCACGAAGAACCACGAACCGGTCTCTCGTCTCCCCTTGTCGCTCTCGTTTCTCTATCGCGATCCACGCGATATTCAGAGCACCACCCCTTGTCCAAGGTCTGCTCATAAAAAGGTTTCGATCAATTTTTAAGTGGTCGGTCGTCCGACATGCTATTCTGTTTCTCTTTCTACGCGGTTAGGCGGGGCGACGGGCGGGGTGAGCGAGGGGGAGGGGGCCTGTCGGTTCGAGCGTGGGTACGTATTTATACGCGCGTCGGCGATCCTCGCGGCCTATCGAGATGTTCGATTTGCGTGTAACACGACGAACTGACTCCGCAGGATCGGGTCCTTGATACGCTTTGAATAAGCCTCGCTGATTCATTCTTGTCCACCCGTCGAGAGACTTTCGACTTGATCGATGATGATCCGGGATGATTTGTATTATGTTCCCTGTCGCGACGGATTGAATTTCGGGGAATCCGCGCGCGAGCGACAAGCGGCTTCGAAAGGAGCGAAGATTAGGTCGCGTTACAGTCGCGGCTCGATTAGAAATCTCGAACGGAGAAGGATCGAGACTCCCACGCGAATGCTTCGGTTCGTTTCACCGGCGTGTATTCGACGGCAGAGTTTCTTACCGCCATGATTGATCACCGTCTTAATTGACGCATACCAAGACGAAAGAGATCTTCGACGGTATCACCTGTTACGAGGAATTATCGCTCGTAAATAAACGTCACGACTGTTCGTTGGTGTTCCACCGCGTTCGTCCAGGACTATATTATTTAATCCTGACAGAGACGCTTTATTATTCGAGGATAATTAACGAAGATCCCGGATCGGCGAGCGATCCCGGGCGTATTACGTAAGTCGGCGGATAAAAATCGGTGAAAATTGAACGGATATCGGAGGTTCCCTTGAAACGTAATTAATACTTCTTAGCCGGCGGGATGAGATCACGCCCTATGAACGATCGTAATTAAAACCGTTAGGATGGAGAGGATCGCGAATGATTATAACTCCGACGAAAGGCTCGCGGGAGGTCTAAGAAAGTTTGCTTTCGAGAGAGAAACAGCCGAGGCAAAGTCAACCGTGGCAAGTCCTAAACTCTCGACGGTTTGCCAGGAACGGGTCTCCGTCGGTGTGAAACGCGCGCGTGTACACGCGTTCCCCGACGGACAGGTGCTCTTCGGTGTAAGAAAGGATCAGAAACACTTGTTCGCGCTAGATAACTTCCCTTCGCTGCCACCCTTTCGCCCTTGTTTATCTTATTTACACCGTGTTTCACCGTTTACCCTGTTCGAACTTGCCGAGACGAATCTTCCCGCTTCGGTTCCCGTGGACGCTGCCACGAGCGGATAAATCGAGGCTGGCCTCGTTTCCCGGCTTCTAACCAGCCAGCCCTCAGCCGCGACCACTTTCGCGGCAAACTTTCCTTCTTCGGATTCGAAAATCGATTAGCGGCAGATTCGGTTCCCGTGTAAAGCGAGCGGATCGCGTTGGCGACGCGCGATATTCCGGACGGGGTGGCAGCGGGCCGGTCGAGAATGACGGCGGAAAAGAAGTTTTAATTAAAGCTAGAATAAGAGTTTAATCGAGCAAAAGGGATTAATTGCCTAGGGGTTAAAACGAGCGAGGGGTCAAAGAGAGGCTGCGGCGCGCGTTGCCTCTTCCTCGATGATTCCTCGTGGCTTCCTCGAGTGGCGTGGACAAGAGAGAGCCGCCCCATAAATACTCGCGCCGAATGCTTCTCTGAAAGCCCTTTTTCGTTCGCAAACAAAACCGGCCGCCTCGATACTCGTGCCAATGGGAACCGATGTTATTAAAAGCTACGAGCTTTTCTGGTAACGTCACAGTCAGCGTCGTTCAGTTCTCGAGCACTTCGCCAACAAGACTTTTCGTTACCCGCGTATCGATTCCTCCGACGCGTCGCGTACAGCCTGGCACGGCTCGAATCCCCCCGTTCCGATCGCTTCGCAAAAATTATGCGCAACGAAAAGAGCTCTTCCTTTATCCAATTACGTATAGTACTACGAATCGCGGGGAAACGCGCACAAAGGGCAGAAACACTCGTTAACGCGTACAAGTTCCGACTCGTTTGGTCGAAAATCGCGATGGCAACGGATTTGAACGAGAACGCGGACCGATCTCGTCGTGGTACGCGTTTTGGAAAAAATCCCGCAACCCTTTCGTTGCGTCGTCGATTCGACGATCCTCAAAGCGTATAAACCTTGCTGGCGTGTTTCTCGCGTTCGTTAAAATAACGAATGCGGAGTTAAAAGTACAGGGAACAGCGTTCACCGATACAGTGGCATAGTTTTGGAAAAACGAGCAGGAAAAATGGGAAAAACATTTGCCACGGCGTATCGACGCGAGGCATCGTGCCCGATGCGCTTCGAATCGCTTTTAACGGACCATACAGCGACGTGGATCTATGGGGTTTAGAAATTTCTGGCGCAGAACGTTGTCGCGGCGCACGCCGCCATAATGCGTCGGACAACGGCGTGCTTTACGACGATTTGATTTACATTGGATTTTTCCAGGCTGCCGGCGGTATTTCAGCCGTGGCGTATCGAAAATCTACGCGAACCACGCTGCACGAACGCCCACGCCTCCGTCCATTGCTCTTTGTCAAACAAGTTTGTCGGGGTGGTCGCGACGCGGAGGAAAGTGTGTATAAAACGAACGCCGCGACGGCACCGCGAACACACCTGGTCGTACCTTCCATTCTACGCAAGCTGGGAAAACATTCTAATTCCGTAACGGAGCGGAGAACAAGGCGGTCGTACGTTATCCGATCCTGCGCGATGTATATCACGATGGATAACGGTTAGACCTGGCGGAGAAAGTCGGGACACATCCTACCAATTATTCCGGTATACGCCCTTCGGGTATTCCCTTCCGCCGCGCGACGAGCAAACGAACAACGAAGGAAAATAAGGGCGCAAATAAGGGCGAACGTAAGGGAAGATGGATCGGGAGGGAAAAAGAAAGCGACTCGGGTCCGAAAGTAATTGGCAATCGGTTCGCGACTGTCTTTCAATATTGGAACACTCGGTAGTATTTACAATTTATCGAAAGATCGGGGAACGGCGTAGACGTGGAGCGTGTAAAGGGTTGAC